ATAAATCATATCGAATTGCATACTCAAATTTCAGTATTCAAAATAACCTTTAAAGGTTAAAAAAACAACGAAGAAATTTCATCAAAAAGAGTACCAAACCTTTCTATTCCACTGAAGACCTGGCTCCACGCACTCCTGATCGTTCTTATCTTGCTCCGCTGACACCACCTTCACATTATAGCCAACCAGATCAATATATAACAGAGATAATCATCAATATAGTGTATAAGTCATAGTTAAGTGGCGCTAAAACCTGCGCCCATGAGGATCGGGACCGCTCATCTCGTGTATCTGGGCCCGAATCGTGGTCGTCCTCGTCGCGGAGGCCACCACCGAGAGCTACGTCGACCAAGCCCCGGATCAGACCGTCCATTTCTGTGTTTCTAGAAAGAGAAGAGATCAAATGTAGATATTTTAGTGAGAGGATAAGAGTGGTGTTTTAGTTTAAGAGAGATCTATAAAAGAGCTGCTGATAAAGAAAAATGGTTGAATTAAGTTCCATGTACCAAGAGCTTGGCGGGTAATGGCAGATTTGTAAATTAAACTCTATATTGTGATAATCCTATTTTTTATATTTATTTAATCAAAGGATTTTTCTATTGGATCTCGTATGCTTTTTTCATTAAAAAAAAAGTAATATATACTCGTGAATTCATGATTATTTACATTAAACCAAATAGAGTCCCAAATGCCAAACGAGCTAGCCCATGCGAGAAGCTGTTGAGCTAATTTAGAGTACTCTAATTTTGTACAAGCTCATTGATTTCGAAACATTTCAAAAGTTTATTGAGATAGACTATCTGTAATTTAAATTCATAACATAACAAGATGTCTACCCTATGAGAAAAAACCTCATTTATAGACGACCCATCATATCTAAGGCCAAAGACAAACTTATGGTTTTCATTTGCTCCACAACAAGCTCAAATGATTTGATAATTATAGCCACTTTCTATATGAAAGTCGAGTGTGCGATATTCGCCGATAGAAAATGACCAGCTTGAAGCACAATTCAGAAGTTGTATTATCGTGAAATACTCTAGCTTTGGAAGTAAAAACTACTATTTGCTTTAGTTACAAAAAAAATTCCTTGAAAGCCTCTGCATGTTGAACGTGTTGCTTTTGCTATTATTGCTTGTGCACTTGTCATTGATGAGTGAAAATAACATGTTTACACAACTAGTATAGCCTATAGATTTATGAGAATGATTACATTGGTTGTACCAGTAGTATAATGATTACATTACTTACAACAGTTATCAACATAATGCGAAAATTAGTTTACTCATTT